CGATAGCTGGAATTCACTGTCCTCACTCTAAATAACATGTTTACTTATAGGGATGTGAGAGGAAGGGGATGCTAGCAATCTTCTCTCTAATCTTCTCTTTTGGACATTCTCCCTTCTTCTCATGACAAATGTCACTTTCCTTACACTTAAAACAATATCATTAATGCATCACATAAACTACTTTTTGTTTTCCAATTTTACCTCTTTTGAATATATTAACTCTTTTTAATAACAAGCTAGGTTTTTTTTTACAACTTTCTTACTACCTTAAATTGGAAGTGTCCTTTTTTTTTTCTTCCCAAAGAGTACGTATGTTTTGTTAAACACAAAATAATGATGATATCATTTACATGATAACAATGTCATGAAAGAAACTTTATTATTATTTTTGTAAATGATGTTTTTTCTTATTTAATTTTTAACAATATGTTAAGGAAATTGCAACAAAATTTGGGTAAGTTGAAGGAAATACAAAAGCTAATACATTTAATAAGGGTAAACTTGAAAAACAAAAACTAAGTTGTGTGATGAATTAGTGATATTATTTGAAGTGTAAGGAAAGTGATACTTGTCATGAGAAGGGAGAATGTCCAAAAGAAAAGGTTAGAGAGAAAATTGCTAGCATTCCTCAATAACTTTTATAAATGAGAAATTTGAGCAACGAAAAGAAGAGTGGTGAGACATGTCATTGTTCCTCCTCCCCACTCCTCTATTTCTTTCTCTTTACTCTCTTCCTCCCTTGTCTACTAATCCTATATCTCATTCCTCAGTGAGAGTTTTCTCTCCCCATGTGAGAGCTTTATTTTGTTGTTCTTGTTTGTTCATGGTTGTCCACCTCATGTTCTCTCTCAATCGTGTATCATAGTCATGCCCATGTCTCTCCCCTAACTGTTGAGTGTTCCATCGACTTCTCCTACCTCATGTTTGTTCCCCTGTACATCATTACTGATGATTGTGAAAGGACTCCTTAGTTTTAGGAGTTAAGGATCTTTTTAGATCCATTGTTTCACCATATGAGTATGTTAGCATTTCGCCCTCATTCTTGTCGGTTGGTCTTTGAGTGTCTTCACGAACCCTTGTTGTAGTGGTTGTTATGGTGGTGTTGATCTTAGCAACAGCAGGGGCGACTATTGGTTAAAGATTTGATAGGGTTAGGGTTTATAGTGATATTGAGCTTTTGTTTGTGGGCTTGGTTCAGTTTGTTTTGTTTTTAATTATGGGTGGTCATAATCCGGTTCAGTCTAATTTTCCCCTCGAATTGGAATCAAAATCAAAACTTACACGTGGTTCGATTTGGTTTGGTATTTACAAAAAGTGTCTCGAAGAACTTAACCAAACCGGACCTATGCAGTTCCGACTCGATTTGCTCCGATTTCTGGTTTGGAAAGATAAAAATATGAAGATATAAAGAATAGAGAAATCGGATGTATAGAAAAATATGTACAATGGATAAAATAAGGGAGAAAGAGGTCTAAACAAATATGAAGAGAAATAGAAAGAAATAGGTAGAAAAGAGAGGAAGACAGAAGTGCAATAAGAATGAATATGGTTCACATAAAAGAAAAACAAATTAGGCTAGAGTAGTTATTTAGTTTGATATAAATTGGAATTAAGACAATTGGGGTATTAATTGGGCTAAAATATCTGGATATTACTTGGATTTATTAATGTTATTTGAATATTAATTAGGCTTACTAATAATTTTGGATAAATTAAGAAATAAACTTAATATAACTAGTCTTGTTCGGTTTATACCAGTTTTTCCATGACAAAAATTAAGATGGAAACCGATCCAAAGCAACCCGGTTCAGTTTTTAAGTCTAGGTGATTTTTTTGGTTAACATTTGTTTTTCCCCTTTTTATATTTTTCTTATTTTAAAACTTGGTTCACCAGTTCAAATGCCCACTACTATTTTTAATGATGTTGGACTTAGGCTGTTATGGTTTTTTGTTATTGGGCCATTTGTAATATTCCATTTCTGAGTAATGAAACTTATCTCGACTAAAAAATAGAAAAGAAGAGTGAAAATTGTGGGTTATTGAAAAGATGGTCATTGGAAACAATTAAGAGCATAAAAAAGAAATTATCAATTGTTGAAATTAACTATATATATATATATATATTGAAATTAGAATTAGGCAATTAGTATGACTCAAAATTAAAACTCATTCTCAGCTTAATAATATTTTAATCTTTATAATGTTAAAAGAGATTCAGATTCACGGGTTATTCTATAATAAGAGTTTTAGATATAGCTCTTAGGTGAGGTCTTATTTGTTAACCGTTACATCATTCTAATTCATTTAATTTAACAATTAACTAATTTAATCTAATAATTAAAAAATAAAATCTCACTTAAGGGCCATATATAAGCCTCACTATCGAATTCTTGTCGATTTCAACTCCAATAAAAGAGCTTCAAGGCCTATTGTAGCATTACTCCCATTAGCGGGTTTAGGAACGTCACTTAAAACGAATGCCATTCACCTTCCAGCGACGTGGCTTCCTCCCATTAGCGGTTTGCCTAGTTTATCTCTCAACGCTGTTACAGTGAGCTCTGCCACAAAAGCAAATGAAGACCTCTCCATATACCACGTGGCGTAATGTCAGAGCCAGGTGGACCCAACCCGTTCTCGTGCAAATTTTGATGTTTTTTCTTTGTTACTTTATTTCCAATTATCATGGCTACTAATGTGGGTTGAACCTAGCTCCTCCTCCAAGGAAGAGCACCAATGTGTTTTGGTTTTTGGGTCTCACACACTCTCTTAGTGTCTACTTTTTTCTTCACTATTTTTTGAAATTTTTATTTATATTTTGTTCGGATGTTTTAGGATTTTAACTGTTTTTGGTGTGCATTTTTCTATCTTTGGTTGCTGGGTTGGTCAAAATTTTGCTCAAGAGATTGGGTTTTTTTGGATATTGAAATTCTGAATTGGACTTCACTTCAGTATGATTTATGATATGGGGTTTTTTTTAATAGCGTTGAACGGATATCTGGGTTGGATTTTCATTGATTTTTTATTTTTTGAATTCAATGAGTATGTGTTGTGGGGTTTTTGAGTTTTAATGGGGTGTGTGGCTGGCTAATATCTGTATAATATACTGTTGATTGATGAATTAAGAGCTTCCATTGGGTTTATGAGCTGCGTACTATCATTTGTTTGGGACTCTAGAATGCATTTTGTAAGAGAATGTAGCCTTTGAGGAAAAAAAATCGTATATATTCAATTCATTGTTTATAAGTATCATATTTGTTCTTGGTGAAATACTTAATCATCTGAATTCCCTGTTAATGAAATATACTGGCATTCTTTGATCCTATCTGCCTAAGTCCCTCTGTTGTCTGGTTTTATGGCTTGTGTCTACAATGATCGGAAAGTTTCAAGCTCCTCACTTTTGTTTTTTACAAGGCTTTGCAGTCAAGTTTTCAAAAATCAATTAATGTATATATATTAATTCACAGTTCTTTTTTTTTTTTATCTACTACTAAAAAGGTCTTGTTTTACTGTTTTTTCCTGACTTGTTTGTTCAGATGGCAAATGACATGTTGAAACATGGAGATGATCCCCCTGGCTCTACTTCACCATTACAATGGCTTAAAGAAAGTGAAATCCCTGTTAAAAACGACGAAGTTGCTAACTTCATGGGGACTCTTAACAATCGTAATGCTTCTGGAGTTGATAATATAACCATGCCATGTACCACAACACCGTTCTCTCTTTTTCCTTTTGGAGACATGCATGGAACGAGTAAGAGTAACCCTTATGCCATGGAAATGCCACTGACTGGTATAAATTTAATGACTGATCTCACTCCATTCAGCAACTCTCAGAATCCATTTTTTGACTATGATTCTGTATACGCGGAGTGTCATACACCGGTCCTACCAAGCCCAGTTTCAAATTTTCTTGGTTTGGAAGGGAACAAAACTGAATTTAGTAAATATCACACCCTTGATTATTCAGTGCCTCCTGATAATGTGGTTAGTGCTACGTCCGATGTCAACATTATTCAAAGGTCTTATGTTGACAGGAAATTAGTAACTGCCAAAGGAGATTCAACGTCTGCAGCATTTGCATATCTTATTCCACTTCTCAACATCATGGAATGCCTAACACCCTCAACCCGTCCACACCTTCTTTGTCTTTCTGGTGAACAGTCTTTGTCCTCCTTAAAATGCCATATCTTTTTTTACCAAAAGCACGCTTCACCCTATGTGACATTTCATATGTCGCTTTATCCTTGCCTTTGCCTTTATTAGAACAACCATTACCCGTTGACCAAAAACAAAAAAGAACAACCATTACCCTTTTCTTGGCCCTTTTCAGAATTCTCCCCATTATTCACAGTAGTAGTTTCTTTGTCTTATTTAGAAGCTTGATCAGTCAACCGTACTTGATTCAACCCTTCTTCAGTCAACTGTACTTGATTCAACCCTTGTTCATTCAACTCTTTGCCTTGTCCACCTGCTTCTTGATTCAACCCTTCGTCATTCAACTCTTCTATTACAACACTAGTTTTTTTTTTTCTTTTTTTTCACCTTTTGCACCTGAGATACTCCCCCACCCATTGGAACAATGGCACCATAATTGTCATCAAGCTCTTCAATCACTACCCCAGTGTTGGTCCCAACATCATCATCCAAATTTATAAATATGTTTGAACCCACTTGACTATAAAACTGCTCTTGACTGCATGCCAAGTAGGCCTCGTCAATGGGCCGGGCCAGGCTAGCCCGGCCCAAAATTAACGGGCTTGGGCCGGGCCAGGCCGGGCTCAAACAGGTAAAGGACTATTAACGGGCCGGGCCGGGCTGGGCTTTATTCAATAAATCAAAGCCCAGGCCCAATCCATGAGTCGGGCTTTAATGGGCTTTATCGGGCCGGGCCGGGCAAGCCCAATTGGGCCGGGCCTAAACGGGCTTACTAATAAAAAGGCTGAAATTCATTTCATTTCCTGTTAAGTATGAAGCTCAAAAAATGTGAATGACTTACAAATCTTATACAACCATTAAAATTATACACTTTCAAAACAAAAGGTCTTACAAAATCACAATCTAATACAACCAAGTTATGCAAAATCAAATTAAATTCACTCACAATCTCATCAAAAGCTTCACTGAAGGCTTTACTCAAAAGCATGATACTGTCCCAAAGTCTGTTACTACAATAAAAATCAAATGCTTGCAAAATAAAATATAGTCCTATTACATAACATTTCAACTTTGAATGGTCTCATTTTCAGATTCACCAACAATCTCAACGTCATTGTCTACCATCCAATCTGGTCTTGATGCTCTAATGTTCATTGATGCTACAGTAGAAGCCGGATTTATCGTAGGAAATGTCTGTAGATCAGCTAAGAACATTGTCAGTGTATTCTGGAAATGAATAATTATCAAGTCTCAGGACAACCCAGAAGATAATATTAAAAAAATTGCAAAATACGTGGACAACTCTGCAAAACACCAAACTTTCTACCTAATATAGTTGAAACAGACAGTCTGTAAGGTAATAGAAGCCCATGAACAGATAGATCACAGAATTAATTTAGGACACTGGAATCGATTCCGATATGGGCTATTTTTTCTAGCTTTTGAAAAGTTACCCAAATAATATCAGATTGTATTCTATGGTAAAGTTTAGAACTTTAGAATCACTGATGACTTTATGAAAAGAAAAAAAAATGAAAGTAAACATGTCTTCAACTTTGTTTTGCAAAGTCTGGGACCATAAACTGAGCATTCAATCGAAGAAATTTCCTTGAAGGCACCATCAGAAAAGAGAAAAACAGAGGACATTACTGAATGATGTTAAAGAACCAATTCTATTTACAAAGGAAAAGGAAAAGTTGTAATCACCTGAAATCAGTGTCATCAAAGATTTTCTGAACCTTCGACCGCTTAATCGGCCATTTTGATAAGATGGCGTTGCCGTACTCAGGTGCCCAACTTTCAGCAAAAACATAATTCATGCCCAAAGCAGCAGCCAAATCAGACAGAGGCTTCATGGCCTTCTCTTCCTCTGCCTTCACATCTTGCAAAGCCAATATATCAGCATCCAACTCTCTCAGCACATCAAGCAC